GAAAACTAACCGACCATATTCAATATGATGCTTATTGGAATAACTGGGACATCGATATCTATCGACAATAATTTTTACGGCGGTAATTTTGGTTGTGAAAACACCGTTTTTCTAATAGTGTGATCACATAATATCCTTATGCTTATTATGCAGCTTAATCGTGATGGAAAAAATATGAGGCATGGTATTGGTGTTTATAGGAGACATTGATAGTTGCTTGTTGCATCACATACATGAAAGAAACTAGTTGGAAAACTAACCGACCATATTCAATATGATGCTTATTGGAATAACTGGGGACATCGATATCTATCGACAATAATTTTACGGCGGTAATTTTGGTTGTGAAAACACCGTTTTTCTAATAGTGTGATCACATAATATCCTTATGCTTATTATGCAGCTTAATCGTGATGGAAAAATTATGAGGCATGGTATTGGTGTTTATAGGAGACATTGATAGTTGCTTGTTGCATCACATACATGAAAGAAACTAGTTGGAAAACTAACCGACCATATTCAATATGATGCTTATTGGAATAACTGGGACATCGATATCTATCGACAATAATTTACGGCGGTAATTTTGGTTGTGAAAACACCGTTTTTCTAATAGTGTGATCACATAATATCCTTATGCTTATTATGCAGCTTAATCGTGATGGAAAAATTATGAGGCATGGTATTGGTGTTTATAGGAGACATTGATAGTTGCTTGTTGGCATCACATACATGAAAGAAACTAGTTGGAAAACTAACCGACCATATTCAATATGATGCTTATTGGAATAACTGGGACATCGATATCTATCGACAATAATTTTACGGCGGTAATTTTGGTTGTGAAAACACCGTTTTTCTAATAGTGTGATCACATAATATCCTTATGCTTATTATGCAGCAGCTTAATCGTGATGGAAAAATTATGAGGCATGGTATTGGTGTTTATAGGAGACATTGATAGTTGCTTGTTGCATCACATACATGAAAGAAACTAGTTGGAAAACTAACCGACCATATTCAATATGATGCTTATTGGAATAACTGGGACATCGATATCTATCGACAATAATTTTACGGCGGTAATTTTGGTTGTGAAAACACCGTTTTTCTAATAGTGTGATCACATAATATCCTTATGCTTATTATGCAGCTTAATCGTGATGGAAAAATTATGAGGCATGGTATTGGTGTTTATAGGAGACATTGATAGTTGCTTGTTGCATCACATACATGAAAGAAACTAGTTGGAAAACTAACCGACCATATTCAATATGATGCTTATTGGAATAACTGGGACATCGATATCTATCGACAATAATTTTACGGCGGTAATTTTGGTTGTGAAAACACCGTTTTTCTAATAGTGTGATCACATAATATCCTTATGCTTATTATGCAGCTTAATCGTGATGGAAAAATTATGAGGCATGGTATTGGTGTTTTAGGAGACATTGATAGTTGCTTGTTGCATCACATACATGAAAGAAACTAGTTGGAAAACTAACCGACCATATTCAATATGATGCTTATTGGAATAACTGGGACATCGATATCTATCGACAATATTTTACGGCGGCGGTAATTTTGGTTGTGAAAACACCCGTTTTTCTAATAGTGTGATCACATAATATCCTTATGCTTATTATGCAGCTTAATCGTGATGGAAAAATTATGAGGCATGGTATTGGTGTTTATAGGAGACATTGATAGTTGCTTGTTGCATCACATACATGAAAGAAACTAGTTGGAAAACTAACCGACCATATTCAATATGATGCTTATTGGAATAACTGGGACATCGATATCTATCGACAATAATTTTACGGCGGTAATTTTGGTTGTGAAAACACCGTTTTTCTAATAGTGTGATCACATAATATCCTTATGCTTATTATGCAGCTTAATCGTGATGGAAAAATTATGAGGCATGGTATTGGTGTTTATAGGAGACATTGATAGTTGCTTGTTGCATCACATACATGAAAGAAACTAGTTGGAAAACTAACCGACCATATTCAATATGATGCTTATTGGAATAACTGGACATCGATATCTATCGACAATAATTTTACGGCGGTAATTTTGGTTGTGAAAACACCGTTTTTCTAATAGTGTGATCACATAATATCCTTATGCTTATTATGCAGCTTAATCGTGATGGAAAAATTATGAGGCATGGTATTGGTGTTTATAGGAGACATTGATAGTTGCTTGTTGCATCACATACATGAAAGAAACTAGTTGGAAAACTAACCGACCATATTCAATATGATGCTTATTGGAATAACTGGGACATCGATATCTATCGACAATAATTTTACGGCGGTAATTTTGGTTGTGAAAACACCGTTTTTCTAATAGTGTGATCACATAATATCCTTATGCTTATTGGCATTCTTAATCGTGATGGAAAAATTATGAGGCATGGTATTGGTGTTTATAGGAGACATTGATAGTTGCTTGTTGCATCACATACATGAAAGAAACTAGTTGGAAAACTAACCGACCATATTCAATATGATGCTTATTGGAATAACTGGGACATCGATATCTATCGACAATAATTTACGGCGGTAATTTTGGTTGTGAAAACACCGTTTTTCTAATAGTGTGATCACATAATATCCTTATGCTTATTATGCAGCTTAATCGTGATGGAAAAAATTATGAGGCATGGTATTGGTGTTTATAGGAGACATTGATAGTTGCTTGTTGCATCACATACATGAAAGAAACTAGTTGGAAAACTAACCGACCATATTCAATATGATGCTTATTGGAATAACTGGGACATCGATATCTATCGACAATAATTTTACGGCGGTAATTTTGGTTGTGAAAACACCGTTTTTCTAATAGTGTGATCACAGAATATCCTTATGCTTATTATGCAGCTTAATCGTGATGGAAAAATTTTGAGGCATGGTATTGGTGTTTATAGGAGACATTGATAGTTGCTTGTTGCATCACATACATGAAAGAAACTAGTTGGAAAACTAACCGACCATATTCAATATGATGCTTATTGGAATAACTGGGACATCGATATCTATCGACAATAATTTTACGGCGGTAATTTTGGTTGTGAAAACACCGTTTTTCTAATAGTGTGATCACATAATATCCTTATGCTTATTATGCAGCTTAATCGTGATGGAAAAATTATGAGGCATGGTATTGGTGTTTATAGGAGACATTGATAGTTGCTTGTTGCATCACATACATGAAAGAAACTAGTTGGAAAACTAACCGACCATATTCAATATGATGCTTATTGGAATAACTGGGACATCGATATCTATCGACAATAATTTTACGGCGGTAATTTTGGTTGTGAAAAACCCGTTTTTCTAATAGTGTGATCACATAATATCCTTATGCTTATTATGCAGCTTAATCGTGATGGAAAAACATGGTATTGGTGTTTATAGGAGACATTGATAGTTGCTTGTTGCATCACATACATGAAAGAAACTAGTTGGAAAACTAACCGACCATATTCAATATGATGCTTATTGGAATAACTGGGACATCGATATCTATCGACAATAATTTTACGGCGGTAATTTTGGTTGTGAAAACACCGTTTTTCTAATAGTGTGATCACATAATATCCTTATTATTATTATGCAGCTTAATCGTGATGGAAAAATTATGAGGCATGGTATTGGTGTTTATAGGAGACATTGATAGTTGCTTGTTGCATCACATACATGAAAGAAACTAGTTGGAAAACTAACCGACCATATTCAATATGATGCTTATTGGAATAACTGGGACATCGATATCTATCGACAATAATTTTACGGCGGTAATTTTGGTTGTGAAAACACCGTTTTTCTAATAGTGTGATCACATAATATCCTTATGCTTATTATGCATTCTTAATCGTGATGGAAAAATTATGAGGCATGGTATTGTTGTTTATAGGAGACATTGATAGTTGCTTGTTGCATCACATACATGAAAGAAACTAGTTGGAAAACTAACCGACCATATTCAATATGATGCTTATTGGAATAACTGGGACATCGATATCTATCGACAATAATTTTACGGCGGTAATTTTGGTTGTGAAAACACCGTTTTTCTAATAGTGTGATCACATAATATCCTTATGCTTATTATGCAGCTTAATCGTGATGGAAAAATTATGAGGCATGGTATTGGTGTTTATAGGAGACATTGATAGTTGCTTGTTGCATCACATACATGAAAGAAACTAGTTGGAAAACTAACCGACCATATTCAAAATGATGTTTATTGGAATAACTGTAACACCTAGTTCCGAGTATGTTTTATTTGTCAATTCATTCATTTTAAAGAGTTAATGATGGGGTTTCAGCAAACAATTGCATGTTATTGGACATAACAAAGAAGAACAAGGATGGACAGGTCACACTTCACTATTTGATGTTATTGGCAAACAATTGCAATAAGCCCAACACATATGGAACACCATTGAACCTAGGAACCCTCGAAAAGTTGTTAAAGTCGAGATACATAAGATGGACATCGCTTCCATTTTTAATGGATCCTGAAAGAGATGCTATTGACGCTAGCATAAAAATCAGCAAGGGAAACAGATGAGTTTGAAGTGTTGAACATGAAGGAAAGAAAAACGATCAATGAGTTTTCCATGGATGTGAACAACATGGCTAGAAATACATTGGCCTTAGGGGACAATGTCAATGAGGAATATGTTGTCAAAAAACTACTATGAGTTGTCCCAATAAAATTCATACAAATTGCTTCAACAATCGAGGTCCAAGGTTGATGATACAAACATTACATGATCGCCCATGAAATTTCTCTCGAATGATACATTTCGTAAAGGTTTTCTCCAACAAGGTAATCATATCTTTTATATAATATATGTTATGTTTTGTTTGAAATTCTCAAACTTAACTATCAAATTTCCCCAAGCTTGTAACATCTTGTGTCAAGAACTCAACCATTGGCATTAATTTGCATCCAACAAATAAACATGATTTTTACAGCTAAATAGATGTTTTATAAAACGGGATGTTATTACTTAAACTTAAACACTCTGCCTTTTTTACAAACAGAGTCATCACCCAATATCAAATATACATATATGAACATATATATAATCCATGTTACCATGTTATACACATGAACATACATCAACTATCATTCAACGTGAATCCACGCTTATGCAACACTTCCTAAAAAAACCTAGTTACATTTACAATAGCATCTTCCTTGAAACATAAATTACCTCAACTCAAGCTTCACTTCCTTCAGGCAATGTTATCAAACGAGTATCTTGATCAAACACAAGTGGGGTTTGACAGCTGTAACAAAAAGGGTAATTTCTAACATTAATAGTGTTCTATGTTGATGGGACCCACAATTAGGGTTAAAAGATATGTCACTTACTTTGTGCATTTGACTGTGTTTGTGGTCCCCCCACTGGAAATCGATAATATAGTTCCAAAAAATGAAGTGTTCTCAGTACCACAGTTTGGACAAAGACCCTGAAATGTAAAAAGTTATAGGCTGCATTTGTTGACTATAAAGGATAAGGGCATTTACGTCTTTTTACACATGAGATATCGAAAACAAGTCCCTGTCCCACCTCTTGGATGGTACAAAGAATTGCAATTTTGTGATTTTTTGTACCGTTATATTATATGAGTCCCGGTCCAATGCATATCAAACACAGTATCAATGTGTGAGTGTCAGTGTGTCAGTGTTGTCAGGTGATGAAGATGATGCTAACCTTCAAGATCAAAAAGTCTCTGACAATGACATTGGTAAGTGTGAAGGATAGCCATAATATCAAGGGAAGAGCAGCAAACCATGTGAAGATGAAACTAAATGGCTCCGGAAGCTGATATGATTGTTTATAAACAATAATTTGTTATATAAACAAAGGAAATACAGAAAAAGAAATGGTTATAAAAGATTTACCTCCAAAGGTAGTGATTTCAAAACCAGTGATGTCATCCAGGAGAAGAATCTGATATACAACATATGTAAGTAAGTCTAGTGACAGAATTGTTTGAATATAACAAGCAATGATTTATAATTTCTTTTTGACTTACAATCCTAATGCAACAACAGCAGCTGGGACATTTATGAGGAACATTTTGAGATAATCAACTGAAAGATCACTGTAAACCTACAACCAAAGACATTAACTGAAATAAAAAAATGAAAAAGAAAAATAATAATAAAAGATTCATGAAGGATCTCATAAACACATACCTTTCGACTACGAAGACTGCATCGTGGACCTTCAGCCACTATGTCACTTCCATCTTCTGAAAGAATATGATTAAGAAATAAAGTATAAAGAAGAATAGGGATTATTGCCAACTATCTAAAGCATGTACCTTTAATTGCATCTTTATTGATCATACTCTTTATCAGTCATTATGGGGTTACCAGATACATAAGCCATTGAAGCCTCTAGAAACTTCTGTTCATCAGAGCCTGAAATGTGTGTAACCCAAAAGCCATTATAAGCAAAGAAAATGGGGAAATGTTGGAAAATGATTTACAAGGTGTACATACTTAGCATTACAACACTGCTTCCTTCCCACATTAGTTCTTCCTTGAGGTTATCGAATTCCTCATTTGACATGATGGCTTTTCCTTCGTAATAGAATGACTATGGAGGATGATAGAAGAGAAGAACTAGTAAAATGAAGATGGAGAAACTTGTGTGCAGATTAAGCAAGATGGAAAAGTAAAAAATAGAAAACATGGTTTACTTGTAATGCTTGGAGAAATTCTTGTTCCATTTCTCCTATTGTCTTCTTCTGTTGTTTATCTAAGCTGCAATAAGGCATTATGTTGCTATCGAACTTCATTTTCTTTAACTTCACCTGAAAGAAACACAGCACTCCTCCAAATGAACTTATGTTGAAGTAGAATGTTGTTCCATAGTCTAAATCGATCAATTTATCCATGGAAACTTAAAACTTTCTATGATTATTGCTCTAATTGCACTCATCTAAACTGAGTCTAAATAAACAATTAAAAAACCAATGAGAAACAAATAGTAAGACACCATCAATAACCTTAAAATTAGCTTAAAAACCATAACAAAATCTATTATATTCATTATTAAGGACTTACAAGATACTTGGAGGTTTAATTCATAGTACTAGAGCATAGTTTCAATTACATAACTGAAGTCCAAAAGCAACAAGGCACGAAATAAAACCTAAACTGGTTGATCAGTTTGTCGCCTTTGGGGAAATATAATCAATCTCCGTCGACTCACAACTCCCTTCGGATCAACTGGATAGAGTGAACTTCGACGCAGCGAACCGATTAGAACCAGACAAAGACAACCAACAGAAGGTCTTCGAATAGGAGCAGTGAAGAAACGAGAAGAGGTTATGGTGAAAACCCAATTTGGAGGCCATCTTCGCCGGTGGCCGGATGGTGGTGGATTGGAGGGTAAGATTGCAAATTGAAATCATTTTGCGAGTTTATTTTGGGAACGGAATCGAGAATAGGACGAGTGGGAGATAAGGTGAGGATGGAATGTGTGGAGGGAAATCTGGGATGAGAGAAATTTGTTGATTATTATTTGTTTTCTTTTAATTTGTAAATGCCAACTCGAAAGCTTAGTTGAACAAAAATCTCGAGAAATCAATTTCTTGCTCGAGCCATGCTATCTTTCGTTATAAAGATGAATGGTTATGTTTACAACGTGTCCTATTGGTCTAGAACCATGAGCACCTCTATGGTCATGTGGCAATGGTTGTCCACTCGTGCACACCATCTCGGCAGCGGCTCAACAGTTTGGGAGCTCTAAGCGAACCAAAATTTGGGGCCCTTTGTCTGTGACAACCAAATTTTGTCCGTTTCCGTTACGCGATTCCGTTAATAAAATTTCGAATTCATTAATTCTTTTCCGTCAAACTTCTTGTTTAGAAAATAATCTAGTTATATATAATTAAATTATTTACGAGTCGGAACCAAAAATCGCGCGGAAACCCGAATATCTCGAAAAATCAAACAATTCCGGCCTAAGTGAGTTTACGACTGTAAACTCGTTTACGACCGTATACCCGTTTACGACCGTATACCTGTTTACAGTCGTATACCCGTTTACGGCCAGCAATGGTGGACCCCCCCACCACCGACCACAAAACCCCATAAATATGAGACCCCCACCCTCATTTGAACACTTCTGGCCGAAAACTCTCTCCTTCTCTCTCTAAAAATCTTGACCGTAAACACCTAAAAACAAACCCTTCAAACTTCGGGAAAACATCGAGAACACCGTTTGGAGTGACTTCGGGACGTCTGGAGCACTTATCTCTTCGAAATCAGCACCATTGTTCTTGAGTTTATGGTCCATCTTCAAAGACCGTAAACCCTGTTCTTGAGTTTACGGTCCAAGCTTCAAAGACCGTAAACCCTGTTCTTGAGTTACGACCGTAAACTCACCAAGCCTTCAAACCGTAAACCCCAGTTCACGGCCGTAAACCCTGTTCACGGTCGTAAACTGTCTGTCGACCGTAACCCTTGTTCACGGCCGTAAACACCTTTTTAAGTGGTGCTTTTGGCTGAAAACTCTCATCGATTCGATCAAGTCCCGGTAACATTCCTCAACCGAACACAAGTGTTCTTCTAACACTTTATCTAACGAAATCGCTAATTTAGATACATATATGTATTTATTTGATAATAGGATTCCGTTAAGTGTCACGTGCAACAACTCGAGGATCTTCATTTCAGTCACGCGTTTCATGCAACAACTGTGAGTTCATACATACCCCTACATTTTCCGTATTTTAATGTTTTCAGGGGGGAATACAAGCTAAACATAAATGTTTTCAAAACTTATGCAAATCTCATACTTTAACCCTTTTGTACTGTGTTGAGCATAAGGGACGTTTTCACTAAAATTGCATAGTTTTCCGGACACGCTATTCACTATACATGCAAACTATAATCGGTATAGTTTGGGATTTTCTAAACATAACGAGTACAGAAACTTTCACTACTAAACATATGCACTAAGACAGAAATAGTTTACAGTTACATCACTACTTTATCATGGTTTTCATAACTGTAATTATCACTACATACGGTATACATACAGATTTTCACTACGGTAGAACGCTACTACACTACATGTAAACAGATTGTACGATACTGTGAACGCTACTTCAATACTGTACCCTTAGGTGTACAGGGATAAATCCTATCATAGTATAACCAGAGTCTCCTGGAGGGAGAGCGTGAGATTTGTGAATAGATCTATTCGGGACTGACAATCCCACATCTGACTGCTAGCTACAGTTAGGCGGGCACGCCTAGGATGTACAAATGTCATTTAACTCGACGCCTGAAGAACGTTGGAAAGGTCTCTAGTCATATCAAGCATGGTTATACGACTCACATTATGTATAAATCACCTTTAGTTTACAACTTGACACTCTTCAACAGTTTTATTTATACTAAATAGAACTAATACACACTACGACTGAAAACTTTCAGAGTTTACAAACTAACTGAACATACAATGGTTTCACGTATGAAATACTTATACATCATGATTAGCATTTGCTAGTCACATGAAGTATTACTTCGCGCATCACTACAGTTTTCAGTAACAAACATTCACGTTTCATTTCATACAGAATTGAGAACACTACATTTCACTAAAGAAAATATCGGATTTTCTTGAACTATACAAAAACACTTTCACGAACTCATCAACGATTTTCATTACAAATCACCGCTTATGAACTCACCAGCTTTATGCTGATATTTTCAAACTGCTTGTATTCTCAGGAAATCAGTAGACAGGTACTTGCTGGATTTTTGAGAAGCTGGAGCAATAAGAGTTTTATGTTTATACTTTACAAAGCTAGTTGATGTAATTCAAACAAATCAGACAAGTTTCAAACTGATGTAAACATTTTCATATAAGTATTCACTGTAATGGTTGTGTTGCTATGATTGCTATTATTCATTGGTTGTGATGCTACACATGACGTCCTCCACCCCAGAACGTTTCCGCCATTCGGTTTTTGGGTGTGACAGATTGGTATCAGAGCCCTTGTTTATAGCGAACTAGTATACCGAACCTTACGTGGTATACAACTATAAACACTAAGGGCCTAAGTGCTCTACACTAAAAGTATACTTTCAAAAATATGAAGTATTTTTATAAAAGTATACGAGCATGCATACATAACAAATTCGTGTCACTAGTAGAACAAAACAAAAAGTATTTGGATGTTGGAACGCTGCGGTTAAACCTGGGCAGTTATGTAATCATGTCTAGGGTGAATATAGCCTGATCAACTATATTCAGTCGAGACATGACCAACATGTGCTTGGGAGTGACTGTGGTGTTACAGCAGGCCTAAAACTTACCAAAATCATCTCACATAAAATACTATAGGAGTATTTTAGCTAGAGCCAAACTCAGTATACAGATTCACTCTAAGTGTTGCTACCTCTTCTTCCTTAAGCGATAACTTACTTGCGTTAGTAACCTTTCTGTGCTTATCGCTCGGTAGTATACTTTTATTATCAGGATGAGATATATTTTGTTTATATATATCTCGAGGACTTACCATCCTCTTCTTCCTGATTGTTTTCTAGAACAAGATGCCTCCCCGACCAAGACCCATCAGAAGAAACGACGACACTCCGCCACCACCACCACCCCCTCAGTTCGACCCTGTCATGTTTCAGGCAGCAGTTACACGCCGTCGTGACTGCAGCAATGGCACAAGTGAATGCTGGTGGGCTGGAGGTGGAACCGACCCACAGAGACAAGATGGAAGTCAGGGACATCAAAAGAGTGTTCCTACAAGGACTTCATGACTGCAAAACCCAAGTCCTTCGACGGAAATGGAGGTTGTCATCGCCCTGACTCGATGGTTCGAGAAGATCGAATCCATCTTCGAAATTTGCGTCTGTTCTGAAGCAAACAAGGTGAAGTTCGCCGCCTGCACCTTCACCGACAGAGCCTTGACCTGGTGGAATGGTCGAGTCAAAACCCTAACCCTGCCAGTGGCTAATGCCATGGGTTGGGAAAGACTGAAGGAGCTCATGCTCGCGGAGTACTGCCCGAGGGGCGAAGTGCAAAAGTTGGAGCACGAACTCTGGAACTTGAAGATGAAGGGTTCCGACATCGCTGCCTACACACGCTAGATTCTGTGATCTGGCTCTCCTCTGTCCGGGAATGGTCACCCCGGAAAGCAAGAAAATCGAAAGGTACATCTGGGGACTGACACAACCAAAAGGGGAATGTCTTGGCTGCTAGACCGATTACTTTTGAAAGCGCCAAGGATCTGGCACAGACTCTGATCGATCATGGAATCGATCTGGATGAGGTGGCAGCTGTCTCCGAGCCACAAAAGGAAAGCGGTGGGAAGAAGAAGAAGTTTGGTAACAAAACGAAGGGTCAGTCTTCGCAGGAGCCCTCCAAGAAACAACAAACAGTGGCAGTTCATGCTGTTACTGCTCCTCTGCTGCTGCTCCCACTGCTGTTCCAACCACCCAATCTCCTACCGGTGGTTATGCTGGAAAACTACCCCTGTGCAACAAGTGTAACTTCCATCATCACGGCCCTGCCGTGAGTTGAATTGCAACAGCTGTGGAAGAAGGGACACACAGCTCGATACTGCAAGACACCGGCTCAACCAACCAACCAGGCTCCGGGAGCGGGCGCTGGTCAAACTTGTTATGGATGTGGAGAGGCTGGGCACTTCAGGAAAACTGCCCCAAGGCAACAACTGGTGGCAATACAGGGAGAGTTCTGGTGATGGGCCAGGAGGAAGCAGTTGCTGATCCTACCGTTGTTACGGGTACGTTCCTCCTTGACAACTCTCATGCATGCATTCTTTTCGATTCTGGTGCGGAGAGGAGTTTTGTTAGTCATGCATCCAAACACCTAATCAAATGTAAATCCAACCTTTAACCGAAACAT